AACCTTCTGTTTCTATCTTGTGGAACAGTTTGAGGAGTAGTGGTATTAGTTCTTCTTTGAATGTCTGGTAGAATTCTGTGCTGAATCCATCTGGCCCTGGGCTTTTTTTGGTTGGAAGACTTTCGATGACTGCTTCTATTTCATTGTGGGTTATAGGTCTATTTAAGTTGTTTGTCTGTTCTTGATTTAATTTTGGTTAGTGATAGTTATCCAGAAATTTGTCCTTTTTTTTTGTATTTTCATTTTTTGTGGAATACAGATTATCATAGTATGACCTGAAAATTGTCTGGATTTTCTCTGTGTCTATTGTTATGTTCCCCTTTTCATTGCTGATTTTGTTAATTTGCATGTTCTCTCTGTGCTTTTTCGTTAATTTGGATAAAGGTTTGTCTATCTTGTTGATTTTCTCAAAAAAACCAACTCTTCTTTGCATTGATTTTTTTGTATTGTTTTCCTGGTTTCTAATGTGTTGATTTTAGCCCTCAAGTTGATTATTTCCTGGCATCTACTCCTGTGGGGTGAATTCGCTTCTCTCTGTTCTAAGGTTTTCAGTTGGGCTGTTAATTCTCTTATGTGACTATCCTCTGTTTTCTTCATATGGGCACTTAGTGCAATGAACTTCCCTCGTAGCACTGCTTTCAAGGTGTCCCATAAGTTCGGGTATGTTGTATCCTCATTCTTGTTGAATATTAGAAAGTCCTTAATTTCTTTCTTGATTTCTTCTTTGACCCAGGAGTGGTGCAATTGCACATTGTTCAGTTTCCATGAGTTTGTAGGTTTTCTGCTATTTGTGTTGTTGAATTCCAATTTTAAAGCATGGTGGTCTGATAACATACAGGGGACTATTCCTATTCTCTTGTATCTGTTGAGGTTTGTTATGTCACCTAGTATGTGGTCGATTTTAGAGAAGGTTCCATTTGGAGCAGAAGGTGTTCTCTTGTATTGCCTTCTTCCCATAGCTTCTTCCAGTAGGTGTTGGTGGGGTCTCCCCCTCTCTCTATGGTACTTCCCCGATGGGCTTATGTGGGTCTGAGATTCAATATCTTTATCTCTGTGTGGTCCAGGCTCTCTAGGAGGCTCTGAACAGATAGGGACCCAGGGATGGAGTCAAGGATGAGGATCCAGTAGAAGATGCCAGCAGGTACTCACAGTGGTCCCACAGAGATAGGCGGGTCTCTGGGAGGGGCCCTGGACTCCAGCAGAGGACTTGAGGTGGGTTCAGAGTCCAAGCAGGTGGAAATTACAGGTGGTCCTGCATGGATAGTCAGGTTTCCTTTGTTCAGAGTTGCTCAGAGAAGTCTCCAAAGTAGGGTGGACTGTTGGTTCCACCCTCTGTCCCAGTGTTCAACCAGAGTAGCAGGAACGTGGGTAGGGTAGGGCACAGGGTAGTGGGGGCAGGCTCGAGGTGGGGATGGGTGGGGGTGTATCAGAGCTCCAAGGTTGCACTAGATGGGGACAGGAGACAGGAGCAGCAGGATCAGGGGCCAACCCAGGGAGTTCGGGCGGGGGAGGGGTCTTTCCTACATTTCTTTAAGGGATTTTCTCACATCTTTTTTGAGGGCCTCTATCATTTTTATGGTGGTTATTTTTAATTCGTTCCCTTCTCCTTCCTCTGTTTTTTTTTTTTTTTTTTTTTTTTTTTGTGTTCTGTTCTAGTTGGTGTAGATTCCCTAGATTCTGGTGGTGTCATTCTTGTCTTTCTGTTGTTATGTGTTTTCTTGTATTACTGTCTTCCCATAGCTTCTTCATGTAGGTGTCAGTGGCGTCTCCCCCTCTCTCTATGGTACTTCACTGGTGGTCTTATGTGGGTCAGAGATTCAATATCTGTATCTCTGGGTGGTCCAAGCTCTATAGGAGGTCTCTCCACAGACAGAGACCCAGGGCTGCGGATCCAGTAGAAGATGCCTCTAGCCAATGGCTCTAGCCAATGGCTGGCGGAAAAGGAAAAAGGCTGAGCTGAAACTTGCGAGGTTTCTGCAGGATGGTAGGATCTCACTGGAACTTTCCAGCTGAGGCCTCTTTCTTTAGTAGAGGCCCTGCTTTGGGGGTCAATGATCTTGCCGGTGGGAACTCGGAATGGACCCACAGAGATAGGCAGATCTCTAGGAGGGACCCGGGACACCTGCCGAGGACTGGAGGTGGGGTCAGAGACCAAGCAGGTGGAAATTACAGGTGGTTCCGCATGGATAGGCAGGTCTCCTTTGTTCAGAGTTGCTACCAGAAGTCTCCTAAGTAGGGTAGACTGTTGGCTCCACCCTCTGTCCCAGTGCTCAACCAGAGAGGCAGTCAGTGGGCAGGGTAGGGCACAGGGTAGGGGAGGCAGGCTGGTGGTGAGGATGGGTGGGGGTGTATCAGAGCTCCAGGGGTGCTCTCGATGGGGACAGGACACAGGAGCAGTGGGATCACGGGCCAACCCAGGGAGTTTGGGGGGGGAGGTTGTAGGGGAGAGGCTACCCCAACTGGGCCCAGACTCACCTCTAGCCAATGGCTGGTGGAAGAGTCCAAAGGCTAAGCTGAAACTTGGGAGGTTTCTGCAGGATAGTTGGATCTCACTGGAAATTGGCACTTTCCATCTGAGGCCTCTTTCTTTAGCAGAGGCCCTGCTTTGGGGGTCAAGGATCTTTCTGGTGGGAACTCAGAGCGGACCCGCAGAGATCAGCAGCACTATTTGTAATAGCAAGAACCTGGAAGCAACCTAGATGCCCCTCAATTGAAGAATAGATAATGAAGATGTGGCATATCTACACAATGGAATACTACTTTGCAGAAAAAAAAAAATAATGGTATATTGAAATTTGCAGGCAAGTGGAAGGCACTTGAAGAAATCATCCTGAATGAGGTAACCCAGTCACAAAAAGAGGAACACAGTATGTACTCACTCATATATGGATTTTAGACCTAGATCAAAGGATCACCAGCCTATAATTCACACCACCAGAGAAACTAGGATATAAGGTGTATTTTAAGAGATTCATATAAAGTCCCTCACAGGACTGGAAAGGGACAAGTCCCACAGAGCACAGGGGAAGTGGGGGGGGGCAGCGAATTGATAGAGAAGTAGGAGAAAACGAGGGGGAGGAAAGGAAAACACGCGCGACTAAGAAGATTGAGCCCGGTTAGGAATAGAAGACAGGAGAGAGAGATAGAGAGATAGAGATAGAGATAGATAGAAAGATAGATATATAGAGAGAGAACATAAAAGAGGGAGCCAATATTGGTTTGAAGGTAAACTTGAACACAAAGAAAGGTCTAGAGAACTACAAGACTGCCGCTAACTAACAATTTGAGTGTCCATAGAAAGGCTACCATAAATGCTCTTCCCAGATAGTGAGATCAACAACTAACTTATCCATGGAGCCCTCATCTAGTACCTGTTGGAAACAGGAACAAACACCCATACATAAACACTGAGTCAAACTAGAACTCAGATGCAGATGGAGAGGACAAGACCAGGCTGCAGAAACACATAGGGACAGCTTACCTGAACAAGAAGGAGCTAAGGGGCCCTCAGACTGATAGCTGGGAATCCAGCATGGGACTGACTCAGGCCCCCTCAGTATGGGTCTCAGCCAGAAGGACTGAGGAGTCTAAGGGACCTCAGAGAGTAGAACCAGGATGTATCCCTGGTGCACAAAAGGACCTTGCGAACACATCTCCCATGGAGGGATAACTGCCTTAACCTAGAGACAGGAGAGAAGCCCTAGTCCCTACTTCACATGACCTGTCAGATCTACATGACCCCAACTGGATGGCATTCCCCTACATATGGAATTGGGGGGATGGGAGGGGAGGGTGTTTAGAGTACATGTGAGAGGGCAGAGAGGGCATAAGGGAGGGTGGGAGGGTGGGAGGGAGGGATCGACATGTAAAATAATAAATTAAATAAATAAAAAAAGTGGCTTTGACTGCAAAGTTTGGGTTCGAGGACAATTTCCTGGGGAAATGGATTTCTCTTTTTGTTTCCGCAGGAAATGAAAAGCTGTGGATTCCTTCCAGACTAATGTGGTTTTATCACGCCAGACTGCCTGAAACAGTGTACCAGGTGGTCCTACATTCAAAACAGCTGGACAAAGCAGCCTTGCAGACTACAGCCAGGATTTCTGCATCTTCTTCGAATCCCCCATGACTGCGCCCCTTACCAGCAGGAAGTAGTTTGGAAAAAACGATGCCCAAATGCCCAAATATTGTCTATAAATGTTTGTTTTCATTTAAATGGACTTGGTTATAAAATAAATAAATAAATAAAAAGAAAAAACTTGAAATAGACTAGGAGAAACATGAAATATATATATTAATTGGTTTTAACATCTAAGTAAGTTTTAAACAAAGACGTATTCCTCCCTGGTCTTTGAAATGGAAAATTTCTTTAAGTCAAAGAAATAGAGAAACCTATAGAAGACACTGGAACCAGAAAATATTTTCCTGGGTAGGAGTCCTAAATTGTTATTTAGATACTAGGATTTAACATTGTCAGATACATTGCAAAAGAAATAAATTTGTCCTGTGTTTCTGCAATAAGAAAAAATATATTTAAATATTTCAAGTTTTCATTTTATTTGATCAGTAGTTTGTGTAAAGGGAGGCTTCCACAAAATACATATTTTGTTTTTGATGTGTTTTTTTTTTTTTTCTGTGACTTCCAGCCAGCGCTTTACATTAACTCTTGCCTCATCATCTAGATTACTGTATTCAATATGGCTCTCATAAGAGGTAATGCATGAGTTAAAAACAAAATACTATTAGAATGTGGCATTTCCCATAACTGAGTAAATTTTAATGATGTCACAATAAACTTAGGAAAATAATCAATATTTGTATTCAAATTGTAAAGAAGATCTACATGCATGCTGGTACCATTGTTAACAACATTTTTGGTTTACGCCAAAAGATGTTCAAGAAATAAAATCATGTGGAATGCAACATGTGTACCAGAATTTCACTTCATTCATCTCTCAGAGGATCCAGACCTACAGACTGTTCTCATTTTCCTATTCTTGTCCATGTACATCTTGGCCCTGTTTGGATACCTGCTCATCATCCTGACAGTAAGCTCTGACTCCCATCTCCACACACCCATGTACTTCTTCCTCTTCTACCTGTCCATGGTTGATATTGGTTTCATCTCCACCACGGTTCCCAGCCTGATTGTGGACATACAAACTCACTGCCCAGTCATTTCCTATGTGGGCTGCCTGACACAGATGTCACTGTTTATAATTTTTGCATGTATGGATGCCATGCTTCTGGCAGTGATGGCATTTGATCAGTTTGTGGCCATCTGCCACCCTCTATATTTTCAGGTTATTGTTAATCCCAGTGGCTGTGGTGTCTTACCTCTAGGATCTTTTCTTGTTAGCCTCTTAGAATTACTGTTACACTATGTGGCAATATTAAATTTTTTTTCATCTGTGAGGATATTACTGAAATTTCCAACTTCTTTTGTGACTCTTCTGAACTACTTAAACTTGTCTGTCTTGATACTTTCACCAATAGCATAGTCAGATTCTGTATGGGTACTCTCTTTGGGTTACTTTCTGTTTCAGGAATCATTTTCTCTTACTTTAAAATAGTTTCCTCCATCATGGGATCATCATCATCAAGTGGGAAGCACAAAACCTTCTCCACCCATGCGTCTTATTTGTCCATTGTTTGCTTGTTTTATGGAACAGCACTAGGAGTGTACCTCAGTTCCTCTCTGTCACATTCTCCAAGAAGTAATGCACTTGCCTCAGTGATGTACACTGTGGCCACACCTGTGTTGAATCCCTTCATCTACAGACTGAAGGAACAAGGACATTAAAACTGCCTTAAGGAAGAATCTGAGCAGAGCATTATAATCATTGACATTCTTTATAAATTCACCATGTATCTATATATTAATTATACATGTAAATCTCAGTTAATGTCTCACATTATTTTACTGATGCTTCACAATATTGCATGATGAAGTGTTGGCCGTCACTGTGGTTGTCCATATGGTGAATGGGTAGTATGGTGGTTTGAAATTAAAGTCTCCCTAAGGGAAGGGCACTGTTAGCAGGTTTGGCCTTGTAGAAGGAAGAATGTCACTGTGGGAATAGCCTTGGAAGCCTCTTTCTCTCGAGCCTCCCTGAATGTGACAATCAGTACATTTCCTATTACCTTCAAGATGTAGTACTCTCAGGTCCAGCATCACATCTGTGTATACACTGCCATGTTCCCTGTCATGATGATATTTGGACTGAATCTTTGAAACTGTAAGCCATTTCCAATTAAATATTTTCTTTGTAAGTGTTGTCATGGTTATGTTATCTCTTCATAGCAATATAAAGTCTTAATCAAGACATAAGTTAGTACCAAAGTCTGAGGTAGTGCCATGATATGTCATATCATGTGTTTGTTGGAGGATTTAAGATTTTGGGTTATGAAAACAAAAATGTTTTTAGCATCGCTTAATGGGCAGCAAGGAAGACAGAGGTACTTAGAATCATTTGAACTGTTGTGGGCTTACTCAAGAGGTTTCAGAGAAGAAATTTAGTATGCTGCCTAGAGATAATCCTTGTGATTTGTGGTTAAGTTGCTGCCTTTTGCCCTTGTCTGGAATGTCTGCTTGAGCCTAAAGTGGAGAATCTTGGATTAATTTTATTGGTAGAAGAAATTTCAAAACCGCCCAGTAATATTATGTTGTGTGGATATTACTGGCAACTCATGAAGATATATAATGAAAAGTAGCAAGCTCAGCATGGTAAATTTCAAAAGGTACATTTTGAGTAGAATAGAATACTAGTAAGTTTAATGGAGCTAATTCCTTTGTTCAAGGAGATAAATAGATTAAGAAATGGAAGAAAAGGAGTGATGACTTCAGGGCAAGATCCCACCCAAATAAGTATCCACCTTGTGAAAAGGAATTAAAGAAAAGCTTGGGCCTGGTGTGATGGTTCTCACCTTCAGTGTTAGCACTCAAAAGGCAGAGGTGGGTGGATGTCTGAGTTTGATCCCTGCCTGGTCTACATGTCTAGTTTCAGTCATGCAAGCTTAGGCAGTAAAAGTTGGAAAGCTGGTGAAGATTTAATCAGCAGAACTTGGCAGCTTCGGTCACATAATTCTGGCTTCAGAGTTAAGGGTAGAGGAAACAGATTATAGAATTTGCCTCTGAACCTAAAGAAAGCTGCTGGGGCCTGGCATATGTCAGGGGTGTCCCTGAATAGACTTAGGAGAGAGGCTGTTGAGTGAAGCTATGAAGTTAAACCCTGGATTGCCTTGGAAAACCCAAAATGTTAGAGATGCCAAGGAGAGCTGATAACAGGGATTGGAATGAATCCAAGAGAATGACATATGTTGCAGTCAAAGAATTGGAATTGGAAATCCAAAGAACATTTTGACATCAGATTTGGGGATGCAAATTTTGTAGTTTGCCCAGATGATTTTTGGTCTTGCTGTGGTTTAGTATTTCCTCACTAATGGGAGATGTCATTCTCTATATATGTTTCTCTTGTTGATCAATGAATAAAACTCTGTTTGGTCAATGCCAGGCAAGAAGCATAGGCAGGGCTACCAAACCAGAAAAGTGCTGAGAAGAGAAAGACAGGGATAGAGGCAGAAAGGAGATGCCATGTAGAGATCGGGAAGATAGGATGCACCAGCCATTCTGGTAAGATGAGGCCATGTAGAAATACGTAGATTAGTAGTTATGGGTTAATAATTAAGACAGAGCTAGCCAATAAGAAGCCCTAGCCAACAGTTTTATAATTAATATAGCGTCTTTGTGTTTATTTGGGGAAAAGCGGCTGTGGGACCAGGCAGGACAGAAACCTCTATCTTTACCTCATGTTCCTCTCCCTATATTTTGGAATGGTAATGTGTATCCTGTGCCATGATATGTTGAAAGTATGTAATCTTCTTTTTGATATTGATTTTGACAGGGGGATTAGAGTTAAAAGATTGTCATGCATCTCAGGAGAGACTTTGGACTTTGGGACAAGTTTGGAACTGTTACAGACTATGGGGATTTTGAGGTAGACTGTATACAATTTTGCATTATGATATGGTTATAAGCTATTGGGAACCAGGGAGTGGAATGTGGTGGTTTTAAAGGATTTGGGCACTAATGGGAATGGTGCTATTAGGAGGTGTGGCCTTGTTGGAGGAAGTGTGGAGCTGCCTTTGAGGTATCTTTTTTTCAAGCTTCCCTTACTGTGACAGCCAGCTGACTTCCTGCTGCCTGCAAGAAAGATGATAATGTACTGAACCTCTGAAACTAGAAGTGAGTCACCCCAATTAAATGTTTTCTTTATAAGAGTTGCCATGGCCATGGTATCTCTGCATACCAATAGAAAACCCTAACCAATATGGGTCGTTTCAAAAAAAATGCACAAAAAAATTGAAGTTGGAGAGATGAAAGTTTTCTTGGAATGGATGATTCATATTGCTGAACAACCCCTTGTTGTGGAAGATTTCTTTACACTGTGTGAAGATGTGTTTTCATTATTGGTTTAACAAAGTGCTGAATCACTGTTATGTAGGCAAGAAGAGGTCAGGTGGAAATGTTAGGGACAGAAATCTCTGGGAAGAAGGAGGAGGAGAGGTCTCCAGCCAGACACAGAGGAGGCAGGATGGGAATAATGGAGATGGCGTAACAAGTACGTGGAAGAATGTAGATAAGGGTTAAGTTAGAAACAATCCTAAACTGTCTGCCTCGCTTTCCATTTTTATTTTGAAATATATTTTTATTTAAATTGAAAACCATCTTATTTCACACACCAACCCCAGTTCTGTCTCTTTCTTGTCCATTCATTTCCTCCACCAACTCCCCATCCAACTCCTCAGAGAGCATGAGGCCTCCCATGGGGGATCATCAAAGTCTTTCACATCATTTGTGGCAGGACCAAGGCCCTTTCCCCTGTATTTAGTCTTAGAGAGTATCCCCATGTAGGGATTGGGTTCCAAAATCCCAACTCATGCACTAGGGATAAATACTGGTTCCACTGCCAGAGGGCTCATAAACTGCCCAGGCCTCCAAACTGATATCCATGTTCAGGGGACCTTGTTTGGTGTCATGCAGGTTCCCCAGCTGTCAATCTGGAGTTCATGAGTTCCCACTTGCTCAGGTCAGCTGTTTCTGTAGGTTTCCCCAGCATGGTCTTGACATTTAATAATAAGTGTCCATGTATTTATTGAGGAGCTGATGGTCCTCACACAAAATTCTGCCTACAACCCCATACAATATGAATGTAAATGACACTGAAAAGCTGTGCACAGGAGCCAGTTGAAAGGGTCAGTCTGCTGAGATTGGGTTTTAGAAATGACAAGAGAACCAGGCTTGTCATCTAGACTACCTGAACAGGACCTGAACAAGGAAGACAAACTGACATGCTAATGTGAGAGGGAAAAGCTCAGTAACCCTCAACCTTATATAAAGAGCTATAGGCAAAGAGGGAGTTCTGAGAGCAGGAGACTTATCAGCAATTAAAGAAAAAGTCAATAAATTTGAAAGAGGGCAAGGGTAGGTGTGGGAACCCACACAATTCGCCATTACAAGATGGCGCCGAGGACTGTTGTAAACAACCCTGTTTTTGGCGCGTGCCCTCCTCGAGTCTGCCTGGCAACAGCTATGCACCAATCCCAGACTGACTGGTGTCCTTTCAGGAAGGAACACCCATCCTGCCTAGATATAAGCCGCTCCCTTCCTTGCTTGCATGCCCCTCATCTCCAGCTCTCCCTCAATCAAGAAGCGCTTCAATAAAGTGTGATCAGAGAAGGATCCTCCTGTCGGTGGTCTTCTTCCCCTGCGGGTCAGGGGCGTGCCACAGGTAGGTATATGTGAAGTAGGGAGGGAGGTGAGAACTATTGGATTTACAATATAATCTCATTTTAAAAATATTTAACAAAATTTTTAAAATTTATAATAATACTCACAAAAGAATGGTAATTATAATCCCCCAGATAATATGTGGGATATCTGCTTTTGGGTTTGCTTATGGTATACATTGTATTTTGCCTGTTTTTTTCCCAAATTAAGTCATAATGTGGACTGTCAAAATAGTGAGCCTGTTATTTGAAGTGAGAGAATTAAAGTTCATGGATAAAGACTGACACAAATTAAAATCCACTAATGAAGCATGAAATGGTTGGGACTCAAAATATTCTTGTCCTTCTCAGCTTCTGAAGTCCTCCACAGTTTTAAAGGCTGTTGTGTTCACAGAGGCCATAAAACTACATCAACAAGTCACTGCAGAATGCAGGACAAAGGGAGAATATAAGAGTGGTTCTAAATGACTTATTTGAAGGGGGAATGATGGAGTTGCACTTATAAACATAGACTTTAAAATTCAAAATTATTTCTTAGTATTTCAAAATTTTGTTTTTTGGATGGTACATTGATCAATAACAGCACATTTGTGTCTAATGGTTTCATTTACTATGTAGGTTTTAATAAATATGTTTAATAAAAGCACATTTACCATATCTACTACCAGGTATGAATTGTATACTAAAAGGAAATTTTAATAACATAAACAATTTAATTCAATATTGGTTATAAAAGATGATACTATGAAAAGGTATGACTTTTCAATAACAGAAAAACTGCTTAGGAAAATGGAACACAATGTCTTTGTCAGCATGAACTATTAATTTTTATTTGACATTTAGATAACACAGTCCTTGGAAATTTATGGGGCTTTAAACTGAGGGAAACTGTATTATTGTCTCACAACATATTAGGGTAAACTTAAGTATTTCTTACTTTTCTTTGACTAAAAAGGGGTTTTAGTCAAACTTAAGGGGGAAAGAAATGTTTTGAGTGTTTTTTTAAAGTGAATA